GCATGTTGAAAACTTTTAAATGAAAAGTTATTTCTAAAAGGTACATCTCTGTCTTTAAAGTAAAGAGACCAGAGAGCTGGGCTTCAGTAGACGGTAGTCGTTTTTTTTTATTTCTTGAATTTTCATGTAAGAATTGTTTATAATTTATTGACATGTGACTTGATATAATTGTTATTCTTAAAAATGATGAATAAAAGGTCAAAAGAAAACAAAAATATTTCGACTCTTTTTACAAAAACAGAATAGATTAACATTTAAAGTAAAATCGACCATTTAATAGAGCCTATGCCTCCCAACCATTGGAGGTAGTTGGTGGGACACAGGAAAAACATATATACAATTTGAAGGGTAAATATGAACTAGTTTATAGTGATGTGTTTTTGAAGTAAAAGCACGCGTCCTTTCTCATCTCCAATACTTTGGAAAATATAAGATTTTGGTAGTTTTAGGAACTCTTATTCATAACTAAACTATTGAAATCTGAAAGTATTATTTCCAAATTGTTCCTGTTAGAAGTTTAAAAACCAGCAGGATTTGAAATTTTGACCTCCACTGACTGGCGATTAAAATATCTCATATTCAGGCAACCACCAGTTTGTTTGTATGTGGAAAAAATTGGGTTTAGTGGCTGATTGAGACATTTTTATGCAGATGAGGTTAAGTTTGACCACTGTTGTCTTGCTCCTCCAAACGTCAGCCTTTGTTTGCTTTCAGTTGAGCAGATTGACCATAACCTGGTGTCATAATGATGCCAGGAAGAGATAAGAGTTTGACAGAGCAAATCAAATGATTGTTTTTATTCCCGGGGGATTGCAGCACAGTCATAAAAACAGTAATTAGGGGCTTTTTTATATACAGTTTGCTTTTGTTTTGTCTCTAGGTCTGAGTATGAATTTGGGTCAGAGCTAAAGTCTTTCATCCTCCCCCATGGATGACGATACGAAGGATTACCACAGAGACAAAATAAAAGCTAAGCTGATAGCCAAAGAAACAAAGACACCTACCAGCTCAAGACTGTGGCTCCTCTGTTTCACCAGACAGAAACCTATTTGATAAAACTGATGACTCTTCAGCTGTTAGTCCCTCATTTCATGGAGACAAAGAAAGGGCTGCTCATTGTTTTGCAGAAAACACAGTTTGAACAGATAATCCATTCAAATTCTACCATGAACACAGATTATATGTGTTTTCAAAATATTTTATACATGTGTATCATTTTATGTTTTCTGACAGCAGTTTAATCCAGCATTGCATTATCCTAATCCTTCTGGAATAGAATTCATCAAACTACCTTTAAAAAAGAAAAGAGGTTTTACAGTTTGACAAAGGATCAAATTTGTTCAAAAACATCCAACTATAAGAATGAGAATGCTGATGTTCACATTGGTAATAAGCAATCTTCATCAAAAGAAAAATAAATCCCCAAAACTGGTACAGAATCACACTAGATGCCAAAACTTGTTTCATTTTATTCCTCATTGCAGAAAAATATTTCTATCTTAGACTAAGCTTTTGAGCTGGAGGACATGTTTCTTCATTACCACAAAACACTTTACAGTTTATCTAAACTCTATCCCTGCTGTTTATTGGATGAGTGGAGTGTCCTGTGTGTGTAAATCCAAAATAATCCCCAACAAATGTTCTTTCTTAACTCTAGGATCAGTGTTTCAAGAAAATTAAGACAGTGTTTGAAATCTTCAATCTCTAGTACATGTGTCAACGTAAAGCTTGAGAAATATTTTTTATGGGAAGAGAGAACAAAACCACAAAAATTAGTATCTTCTTCTTAAAAGCAAAATGTAGGAAAATAGTCATTTTTGTTTACACTTTTGTTATTGTTGTGTTTAGCTGACTGATGTCAGAAAAGAAATGAGGCCTGGATTAAATAAGCAAACAACTGTTTATTGTTGTTTTTCCGTCATACCTTACTTACAGTATTCTTTATTATCTATACAATATCTACAACCAACAGATTGAGCATGGTTATTCTATTTGATACAGGCCCTTAATCATAAAATTTTCTTTGGAAGGAACTCACCCAATGAGAGTTCAAACCATACACTGACTTAAATATGAATAACTGGAGACTTTATATTGACCACTGGTTGTATAGTGATCAATACTGCAGGGGACAAAATGGCTTAAAGGGGTTAAAATTAAAAGAATCTCTTTTTAAATCATTTTGTTTCACAAATTCACTAAAGTTTGGATGTTTTGTGACCCTAACAAAGACACATTTTTTATTTTATTTCCAGCTCATATCTGTTCATAATGTTAAAAATATAATGAACTTTCAAATTAGCTGGTACCACATAAGAAATAACTTTTTTTCAAATTTTGCGGTCTGGGTCGACCGTAGAAAGCTGCAGATAGGCAACAGCCCCCCTTGCGACCCCGCTTGGGATACGTGTGATGGAAAATGGATGGATGGAAATTGGGGTCTGGGAATTTCCGCCTTCATTTTACCAGTTTTCAGCTTCTCCTCCAGAGGTCCTGCTCAAGAACTTTCCCCCTGAGATGCAGGTTGATTGGTTTCACCTGGTCCCCATCAAGCAGTGGACTACTTAAGGAGCCTGCTGCCAGCTCTCCAATGCCTGTTCCCGACCAGATTAGTTCTGGGGAGAATGTTACTACGGTAACAGAGAGGTTGAGTGCACTTTCTTTGTGAAACGAAAAATTCAAAGTCTCCCTGATTTTAGGTTTGAAAACGTAAGAGTTTCCAGTAAGCCTGCTTTGTGAAATGGGCCCCTGGTCTAGAACGTGACCAGAGTTTTAATCCAAAGGGAATCTTGTGAGGGCAGACAAAACACAAAAATTCAGGAAGGCAGGCATGTTCACACAGATACCAGAGCGAAGACCCATTAAGGGAAGAATGAGCACAGGAATGCAGAAAGGCTGGCACATGCACACAGAAGGGCTAGTTATACCTCCCGCAGCAGTGTGCTGCAGTGAGCTTGTATGACGCAGATATTTTTGATTTATGCCCAATTTTGAAGCGTGGTCTGCGCTATGTTATTCCACACTATAGCGCAAGAGGGACAATCACAATGTAGCTGTGGGTCTAAATGCGACCGTGGCAGTGCAGAAGAGGAAAAAGTTTGTGTGACAACGGAGGGACATGAGGGTGAAAAAGAGCAGGTATCCAAGTGGAAAAAGGGTCCTAGCGTTCTTGCGCGCCTCGCTCTTCTAGCTGGTCCATCTTCACGAGTCGTTTTCCACAATGGCGGTCATACAAAAAAAAAAACAAGGCGGTAAGGTACCAAACAGGAAATATGCATGAGTAGTGTGAATGTAGATTTGACCAATCAGAGGCCTCCTGTCTGCGGTCACCTACAATTTCGGAGAGGTGC